CACACTCCCTGGGGATCAGGATGAAGTTGGAAGGTGAAACAAGAGGTGAGAGCTCCAAAAAGGAGGAATTTCAGGGGGACAAAGTGATCATGGGCTGGAGTTTCCAGCGTTGTCGGTTCCTGAGGGAAAGGAAGAAACCCTGAGGCCCCTCCTGGAGGATCCACTGGGAACTCTCACTTTGATGGCTGTGAAATCCATGAATTTCCCTTCTCCTGGCTGGGAGACTCCTGCCAAGCTCCTGTGGGGCTGCCCTTGGTTAAAGGGATGAAGGGAAAAACAACTCCCACCACCACCAAGGGCATGGAAATCCCCGCCTGGAGCAGCCCTTTTTGGGGGTGTCCGGGATCCCTCCCCAAGGAAAACCCAGCTGAGAGGGAGGAGGTCAAGTCCTGCCGAACCATGGCTCCCAGCTGCAGCAGGAATTCCCTTCCCGAGGGAACTTGGGATTTCAACCGCCCAGATTTCCTTCAGGAAACACCCACAAAGCTGCATCACTCCTAAAGCTACTTTTATGGACATTCCCCCCCCCCCCCCCCAAAATATTCCTCCCTGGAAAAATAACTTCCCAGGATGCAATTAAAACAGGTCTGGCCCTGGCCCCCTTTAAGTGCTTCACCAAATGGCCCATGAAAGGCAGGAATAAAAGGCAGCTTTGTTGGAATTTCTTCCTGACAATCTGCATCAATTCAAAAGTGGGACGTTGATCTGGGGGTTGGTGGTGCTGAAAATGGCTGGGAATAAGGCTGAGCTTGGCTAGGCTCAGATTTGGGGGGAGTCTGTGCCAGTAAAGGGCTTGGAAAATCTAAATAATCTTGGGCTGAGCTGATCAAGGCAATGGGAATCCCATTCCAGACCTATGGATTCCGGCAACAGCCAGGGACTGGTGACTGTATTTTAATATATATATTATTAAAACATGCTTTGTCTGTCAGAGGAAGCTGTTTTGGCTTTCTATCACGGATTAGATATTTATTTATGGTGTCTCTTAGATGCAATGTTCCAAATATGGTATTTTCACAAGCTGCAGTTGAAGCCCTTCATGGGTTTTAATCCTTTGTTTCTGGCAGAAGTGTTTTTTTCTCCCACCTCACACAGGATCCCAGAGCTCTTTCTGTGATTCCCTTGTACTGTTTCCCAGAGTTCTTTTTTAATAGAGGTGTTTGAAATCCCCAGTAATGTGTCATTCCATCTTAGCAATTAGACCTGAGCCCAAGGGATTTATAGCAAACACTGGCAGAGCTCTCTGCCTTTCTGGAGCTGGGATGAAGGTCCCTTCCCTGTTTTGCAGTGGAGGCAGGAGGCATGGGGTGCCCACGCTGTACCCACATAACCTCTCGTGGTCCATGGGATTTGTGCGAGGGTCTGAGAGAGTGGCATGAGCGGTGCTTTGCTTTTGCCCTGAGGCAAAGTTCTCTCAGTCCAGAGACCAGCCATTTCCCTGGGAATGTAGTCAAATCTCCAGGGTTAGCTGCCAGACATATGGCTTGGCCTGAAAATCTCACCAAAGGCATCACCTTTGCTGTGTGGGGTTGTTAATTGATTCAGTAGCACCTACCCCTCTGGGGCCTCCTGTTTGGAAATAGCCAAATTCTCCCTAACGCTGCTCTGGAAGAGCCTTGCATCCTTTGTGGCAGACTCATGGATAAAACATGGTGCTCTGGGAAGCACAGGAGCCATTCTTCCAGGGGCTTGTGTGGGGAAATCGGGTGCAAATGGCCTTGCTGGATCTTTAAGATCACACTCCAAGAATTGCCAGCATGAACACTTGGGCTCGTTTCAGCTTGGGGTAGAGTTAATTGTCTTTTCAGTGGCTGGTGCAGGGCTGTGTTTTGGATTTGTGCTGAACACAGGGTTGATAATATAGAGATGTTTTTTGCTATAGCTGAGCAAAGCTTCACACAGAGCCAAGGCATTTTCTGCTTCCCCTACTGCCACACTGGCAAGGGAGTTGGGAGTGCATGGGAGGTTGGGAGGAGGCACAGGACAGGTGACCCAAACTGACCCAAGGGATAGTCCAGACCATATGACATCATGCTCAGTATATCAAGCTGGGGAAAAGAAGGAAGGGAAGGTTTGGAGTGATGTTGTTTGTCTTCCCATTCCATGGGATGGGGCCTTGCTCTCCTGGAGATGGCTGAACACCTGCTGCCCACGGGAAGCAGTGAATGAATTCCTTGTTTTGCTTTCCTTGTGTGTGCGGCTTTTGCTTTCCCTGTTAAACTGTCTTTATCCCAACCCACAGGTTTTCTGGCTTTTGCCCTTCCCATCCTGTCCCTGGTCCTGCTGGTGGGGGACTGAGCGAGCAGCTGTGAGGGGCTTGGGGGCTGGATGGAGTTAAACCACAACAACCCTGCAGCCAGTGCTGGTTCTGGATACGGGACTTGGGAGAAATAAAACTAGATGGATTGATGTGTGTTGGCCAGCACGTGGCATTGCAGGTCGGACATAGCAACTGTGAATTGCTCCAGAACACTCCAGTGTAATGAGGGCCCTCCATGCAGGAGAGGCTGCAGCCAAAATACAGGCAGAGCTGAACTCCAGATCCAGCCGGGAGAGAGAGACAGGGATGAGGAGAGGACAAAGGCTCTTGCTGTGCCATCCCAGAGCAACATCAGAGGAGAAACAGAGAGGGTGAGGGAAAGCCTTGGTATTGAGATAACTCACCCCAGCCATGTTCTCTTGGCTGAGCTACAGGTCGGTACTCCCACCACATCACTCAGAGACTGGAGATCCAGGGCTTCCAATGGCTGGGGCTGTGAGTGGAGTCCCAGTGGAGGAGCTGGTCAGGGCCAGCAAGGTCTATTAGTGCCCTCAGGGTCCTGACAGGAGTGAGGAGAGGCTCCTCACCAGCAGTTTGGGGATTAGCTGCCCCCTGACTGGTAACTTTAGGTGAGGAGAGAGGATGGTGAGGTATGAAATATGAACTGATCTTTTTCTCAGGGAACAAGGAGGAGCCTGCAAGTTTTAGATGTTCGACCCAAGTTGCTTCACTGGAGAAGCTGCTTCTGCTTTTCCAAAACTGGACTCTTTAAAAACTCTCCAAGCTGGGCAGCCAAGACCAAAGCCACCCAGAACCACCAGTTGCTTTGGAAGGCTGGCACAACAGTGGAAAACACTGCACTTACCTGGCAAGAACAGCACCATGAGTCGCACGGGACAGTAAAAGCAGTAAAAGATGCTCCCTGGAGCTGCTGTTAATGCATGGTCCTATGTGCTCAGGTGGGTTTCCTCAGTTATTCTTGCATTGCCCTAATGACTATCGCTATTAATTATTGAAAAAAGGAAGAGCCTGATTGCATCAGGGCAGAGAGGTGAAGGAGAGCTCCAAGATGCACACAGCCACTCTCCCCTCTGTTTAAGGCTGACTGTAAAGAGAAGGTGGCTTTTCTCCAGCTCCAGTGTCCTCCTTACAGCCATGGCTGAGGAGAACCTCAAAAAGTGATCATAAGAGAAGACAGCATATTGCCCTCTTGGAAAGAGGGGAATGATGTGAGCAGTTCATGGCATTTGATGTGACAGCAGAGCACTCTAAGCACTGTCTCAGGAAGCCAAGTACAGCCAAAATGTCTGCTCCCATCTCCCCCTACCCGTCCCCTCCAGCTACATCTGAGATACGACTGCAATTCACCAACTGCGTTATGTCTGGGAGAAGGGTCTGTTCTCAAAAGTGTCTAAGACAGCTGGAAATGAACTTTAATGACAGCTCAAAAAATAAGTGAAAACTCAGCTCTTCTGCCCGATCATTTCAGGCTAGGCAGTCAATAGAAAGTTGTTACTGCCACTTTTCCTGAAACCTTTGGCCAAAGCCTGTGCAATTGTGCCCACAGCATGCCCGCTTTTGGCATGCTGGCCGGTGTGGGGGCCTGGCTGAGGAGGCCCAGGCGTTGTGGCTGCTGCTGCTCCTGAGCACAGCCTGCTGCTGTTGTCTGTGCCTTGGGCAGCAGCGACCGCGCCGCCCTGCCCGAGGAGCCCCGCGCCCTCCCCGTGCTGGCAGCACCTCCGCGGGCCCAGAGCTCTGGCTCAGCGGGCTCTGGGCCACAGTCCCGTGGGCTGGGCAGCCGCAGGGGCCCGGGCTGGCCCACAGCCCTGCCTCTGCCCCTGCCCCTGCCCCTGGCCGGCAGCCCTTCTGCCGCAGGGATGGGAGATGCCCCGGGCAAGCGCCAGAGCAGCCGGGCTGGCAGGGAACCGGGAGGCTGCCTGGGGGCTGCTTATGGCCTCTGCCCCCACTTGCTCAGGCCTTCCCACACCCTGTCCCCTCAGGCCCTCCTCTGCCCAGCCTGTCCCCTCGCTGCCTCCTGCCACCCACTCCCTCACGCATTCCCCTTGGTGCTTCCCACTCCCTTGTCCCGGCAGGGCCTCCGCAGCACCTCAGCCCTTCAGGGCCTCCCAGCGCCCCGTCCCCTCAGGCTCTCCCCCAGCCCCGACAACCTGCCCGGCAGCGGTGCAGCCCTGAAGGAGCTCCACAGGAGCTGGCTCAGGAGGCACCTCCCAGCCCTCAGCAATCCACACAGCAACACACGGGCAGGCCACAGATGCTGCTTCCCGGCTGGCACAGGCTTGTGGCCACCTGCGAGGACCAGCTTCTCAGGGATCCCCACAGCTCCAGGCTCTGCCCATCCGCTCTGCTGCAAGTGTTGAGGCTCCAGCAGAACCCCCCAAGGCCAAGGGCCTTTTGGGCACTTTCCCTTCCCCGCTGCACCTTTGGGCAAGTGTTGTGGAGCACAAGGGCCCTTTTTCCCTCTTTCTAGGTGCCCTGTGGACACCAGGCACCAAAAAAACCTCCTGAGCCTCTGTGTATGCTAAGAGGAATTTACTATTCTCATGCTGGGGGGACAGGATGAGAAGGGTCTTTTCCGCAGGCTCAGCTGGTCCCATCAGACAGGGTTCCCAGGATCAGTTCTCCGCTGACCTCCGGCAGCTGCCCCACAGAGGAGCCTCCCTATTCTACACATTCTGGAACTGATCTTCAAGCTGCTGGAACCTGGAGAAGACTGAGGTCTCTAGACAGCTCTTAGGATCTCCAGGGTTTGAAGTGCCAGACTTTCCACAGCAGCACTGTCGTGAGTCATGCCTTCAATAACTGGAAAAGAAAAGAACGGAGCCAAGGTCAGAGAGCAGATCTCTGGCGAGCCAAGAAGCCCCTCCTGCCAGGACCATCCCATCCAACTCTTGCCATGGCCATGAGGGAGCAGAGCCCAACAGGATCAGTCGGGAGGTGCTGGCCACCAATACCCCCCCGTGCCCCTGAAATCTCTCTCTGCTCTGCCCAAGCCGTTCCTCACCTCTGCAGGGAGCAGAGCCCTCCATAGCCAAGGCAGGATTGCAGCTCCCTGCCCGGGCTCCGTGCTCCCCTCACCATCCTCCACTGCCCTCACTCACCCTCAATGACGATCTGCAGCTGGAGCTGATGTCCCTTCAGGTACCTTCCGGCCATCCCTGGGAACACAGATCCTGTCAGGGCCCCAGCAGCACAGCTCCCCCCCCGGCGGCGCTGCCGGCCCGGCCACACGCCCTCCTGCCCTGGCAGGGCTGAGCCCGGGGCCTTCCCGCCTCGGGACGCCCCAGGGCTGGGCTGGCACAGGGCGGCAGCAGCCGCCAGGGCACTCGGGGCTCCACAGCACATCCCGGGGCCGCATCCTGCTGCCGTTGCAGCAGCCGGGACTGGGGCCGAGCTGCAGTGGGGCGGGGAGGGAACCTGTGGCTCACCCATGAACTTGAGGGCCGCCTCTCGCAGGGGCTGCTGTGGGCTGCGCAGGTGCGGCAGGGCCTGGTGCACGTACTGGACCACTCGGCTCCGGTCCCTTTTCAGCTGCAGAGAGAGGCAGGGCACGGAGGGAAGGGTTGGCTGGGGCTCTGCCCCTTGGCCGGGCGCTGCCTGCGCCCAGCACTGGCCTCCCCTGCCCGCACGCCCCAGGCAAGGCAGCGGCGGGTGGGGCGCAGGCTGCTGTCCCACAGGCGGCTGCAGCGGTGGGCAGGGGCACAGTGCCAGCCCCGCACTCTGGCCATCGGGGACTGGGGCTGTGGGGTCGTCCTTACCAGGCACTCACTGAACCTCCAAGGCTGCTCTGCCTTCAGCACCTTCACAAGACCCCTCCTCTTCAGAAACCGCGCCGCACGAAGCAGCGCTTCCCGAGAGGCCTGCAGAGCAACAGAGACCAGGACATGGCATGGCAGCCCAGGGCACAGGACCCGTGTCCCTGGACCAAGGCCAGCAGGAGACTGGAGCCTTTGAGGTGCCAGGGTAGGAGACAGCCCAGCCCACTCCCATGGGGACACCAGACCCTGCAAGTTCTCACTTCTGCCACGTCCCGGTTCTCATTATGCCATTGGAAAAAAAGTGGGAGCAGGCTGGAGATCACGTGGGTCTTCAGGAGTTTACTCTCCTCCACTCCCAACTCCATCACCTTTTGGAAGAGGGAAATGGAGAGCAGCTGCACATGGATGTTGTCCTGATGGAAAGGAAGAGGAAAAGACCTCAGCACCAGCTGCTCCAGGCCTGCCGGGGCACAAGCCTGCAAATCCACAGGCCACAGTTTCCTGGCAGCAGCCAGCGCCTGGGGTGGGGGGCACAGAGCCTTACATTGCCAAAGAGTGGCTGGAGCATCTCCGCCAGCTGCAGGGCAGTGGGGGTGGAGATTCGAATGTCTCTGTCCTGGATTTCATTGACGAGTACAGAGAGGGCCATCCTGACCAGCTCTCCGTCTGTATCCCACAGGACATCCGCGAGGTTTGGTGCCAGGGTCCGCATGCCGTCAGCCTGTGTGGAACACAATGCTGTGCTGTGAAGCCATGAATCGTGGAATCCTAGAATATCCCGAGTTGGAAGTGACCCACAAGGATCATTGAGTCCAACTCCTGGCCTTGCACAGGACCATGCCCAACAATCCCCTCGTGTCCCTGAGAGTGTTGTCCTTGAGCTCTGGCAGCCTTGGGGCTGTGACCTCTCCCCAGTGGGGCCTGTTCCAGCGTCAGACCACCCTCTGAGTGAAGAACCTTTCCCTACCACCCAACCTAAACCTCCCCTTGACCAGGGGAGCGCAAGTCCCAGCCAAGCCCAAGCCATTGGGCTCCCCAGCCCCAGGCTGCCGGCACAGCTTCAGCCAATTGCCCCCTCCTCACCATCACAGGATCCTTGCTCAGCACCACGAGGCCTCTGAGCACCAGGCGACGCATCTCTGTGCGCTTGCTCTGCAGGCGCCTTGAAAAGATCTTCACCAAGCTGTCACTCCATTCAGTGGTGTTCAGGCAGTCCAGGACCTGAAAGGCAGGGAGCAGTGATGGGGTGCCCGGCCGGCAGGAGCCCAGAGCCGCACCGGGCTGGGCCCAGGCAGCAGCACAGGGCGCGGCACCGTCCCGGGCAGCTGCGGCTGCCAGAGGGCAGAGAGGTGGAGGCAGGTCAGCAAGGCAGTGCTCGCCATCAGGCTCACCTCCACAAGGAATGCCATGGCAGGAAGCTCCCAGCGTGGCTTCTCCCTGGTGAGCAGCCTCAGCAGGCAGCGGGCAATCCAGTAATACAAGGGGCTTGAGGCACGGCGCATCTCCCTGCCCGGGGGAAACAGGCACCATCAACCCTGAGCCGGGTGGGCAAACCTCTGCCGGGACTCACTGACAGAGTCCTGGTCTCTCCCCACCAGTTTGGGAGGGGATGAGGGCACTCTGGGAGGCGGCTCCTCCTGTGCACCCACCTCTCCCAGCCTTTGCCACTCTGCTCAGTCATCCGTGGCTGACGAGGCCCTCTGGCCCACCACCACGGGCACTGTGTGGGGTGCCCCGTGCACAGGCAGAAAGGACAGGGGCAGCGGGGAAAAGGGGGTCTCACCTGGCCAGCAGACCCACTGCATAGTGGTGGGTGTCAGAGTTGAGGAGTGTGTCCCAGCCGCGCTTCCGTTCCATTGAAAGCACGACAGCTTCACACTCCAGATGACAAAGCAGGGCCTTGGTGGTCAGCACTGCAAACCTGTGTGCAGAGCAAAGCCCAGGTCATCATGCTGGGAGCCCTGAGCAGCCCCGAGGGCATGAGAGGCTCAGGAGGACTGGGACTGAGCACCTCTTGGAGTCTGTGGGAAGGTTGGATTGCTTCTGGCATTCCCTCCACCAGGTGTCAACTTCCTCTGGTGTCTGCTCTGTGCGGATGGAAATCTGGAAGAGCAGATCCACGAGGAGACGGGGGGAATACTTCTTCACTGGCTCTGGGCACTGCAGCATCTGGAGAATCTCCCAGATCACCCTGGTTGCCTGCAAAAGAGAAACCACCCGGACACAGCCCTCAGTGCCCAGACGTCCATGGGAAAGAGCCCAGGTGTGGGAGGGAGAGGCCAGGGAAGACGCAGGGGCAGCCCCCAGCCTGGTGCCCCTGAACCCGCCCCTAAGCCAGGTTTCCAGCCCAGTGCCTGAGGCAGGGAGACGCAGTGCTCGGGGAGGATGGAGAGCTGCTGGAGAAGCCACCTGTGGGCAAGTAAAGTCCAGTTGCAGAAACTCACAGCCAGGCCAAAGACATGTGTGTTGTCCCCGTCGGAGGTGGACGTGCTGTGCCGTGGCCAGTCCTCCATCACGCGGAGCAGCTTTGGCAGCACCTTCTCCATTATCCTTGCCGATGAGGCGATGGTCTTCCACATGGTGGCAGCAGCTCTGTGGGGCCAGAGTTCTGTGTCAGGGGGTGCCGGCCAAAGTGCCTTGAGGAGCAGGGAGGGAGCATGGCAGCAGGATGGGGGCTGACATGGCAGGGCTGGGAAACAGAGGCTCCAGATGGTCCTGGAACCCTCCATCCCTCTGGCAGACCACGTGGGACAGGATGGACAGGCTGATGTGCTCTGAAGGCTGGTAAGCCTCGAGCCGTGAAGGCAGGGAGGCCCTGTACCTGTCACATGATGGGGCACAGCGCAGGAGGGTCACCACAACATCATCAGGGTGTGCCTCAGTCACCCTCAGGAACTCCCTCAGCAGCTTCTCTTCCAGAGTCTCGCTGGCTGTCAGTCTCTGGTGCACGTTCCTGACGAAGGCTGGCACCTGCAGGAGGCATGGGGGAAGAGCTGCCAACTTGCCCAGCTTCCCTGACAAGTGCTTCCCTTCCCACCGCACTGTGCTGGCCTCAAAGGCTGAGAGGGCCCAGGGGAGCTGGCTTGAGGGGCCACAAGCCTGTGGAGTGGCTTGAGCCTTGGGCACAGGCTGCTTACTTGCTTTGGACTGGAGACACCATTCCCCTCAAAAATATCTGCAGTGGGAGCAGAACTCACACTCTCCCCGGGCATGAGGTCAGCGTCTTCAATGCCCTCGGTCATTGCAGCGTCGGCCTCCGCAGTGAGATCAGGCAGTGCAGTCAAAACAGGGTCCGCCTCGAATTCAGTCGGGCTGGGCTCAGGCTGGTCCACGACCTCAGTTGGTGTGGTTGTGGTCCTTGTACGCCGAATGCCCAAGAATTTCAGAAAGGCCTGCAGAAGAACGGAGAGCAGGGAAGAGAGGGATGTGCCATGGTGAGCTCCGACAGCGGTGCCAGGCTGAGCAGGGAGAGCAGGCCCAGCCCAGGAGGTCATGGCTGCAGGTACCTGCACTGCCCTGCGGAAACGGCCACGGCCACGGTCCTGTTGTTGTGTCCGGTCCCGTCCTGGATCTGGCAAAGAGCGAGCGCGGTCAGAGCTGAGGGGCTGCGGGACAGGCCGCAGAACACGGCCCAGCCCTGCGCTCCACAGGCAGGGCCAGCCCCGGCATGCCCGGTGCATGGAGCTGCCGGGGGAACAGTCCCAGGCCCTCTTCCCCTGTCCCTTTCCCTGACCATGTCCACAGGGGACGGGATGGGATGAGGCACAGCCAGCTGCAGCCACCAGCATGTGGCCCAGCTGTGCCACTCACCTTCCTGCAGGGGATGCAACTGCTCCATCTTCTCCGGGTGCTGGGATGGGGCAGCTCCAGGGCCTTCGTTCCTCATCCGAAAGGGCCTGAGCAGGCTCAGGCGTCTTCCTGCCATCCCACACTCTGGCCTTGAAGGCACCTGTGAGAGAGAGACACCTCGGAAGATCTCCGGGTCACCAAGTCTGGCAGGCTGCCCTCCAGGCCACCTACCGCAAGGATTGGAGACTCCGGAAAATTTCCGGGACACCGATCCTGCGGTCTGGCCTCAAGGGCACCTGAAAGAGAGAAAAACCTGACCAATGGTATGGGTCAGCAAGACCTGCACTCTGGCCTCGAGGGCCCCTGAAAGATGGAACAGCCTAGCAAACGCTAGGGGTTAGCAGGTCCTGCAGTGCGGCCTCAAGGGCAGCTGCCGCAGGGATTGGGGACACCTCGCAAAAGCTCAGTGTCACCAAGTCCCACGGTCCGGCCTCGAGGACGCTCGCAGCACAGAAAAACGCCTCCAAAACGCCTCCAAAACGCTCCGAGTCAGCAAGAAAGAGTTGGCTGCACGGGGGCACCGCACAACACCGCTCTGTCCCGCCTGTCCCGTCGCACGCTCCGAGGAGCACTGAGGCGTGGCTGCGTCACCACCAGTACTAAGTCATCCCGTGTCACAAAGGGCCCTGTGACACCCTGCCCCGTGCCATGCCCACCGTGTCACAAAGGGCCCTGTGACACGCTGCCACGTGCCCTGGGGCCTCCCCCAGCCCGCCCAACCTGCCCCAGGTGGGAAGGGGTCTGTTCTTCAAAGTATCTAAGACAGCTGGACACGAACTGTAGGCACAGCTGAAAAACTAAGCAAACCCTCCTGGAATAAATTAGCAGGAGTGGATTAATTTACTCATCAAATTAGTAGTAGTAGTTTACTCATTAAATTGTATTGCATGTTATATTCTATTCTTCTAGACATATATATATATATGTATTACAATCAATGTGCTGTTAAGGTTAGGAGACTCTAGGTTGTAGAATGGTTAATAAATCTGTCAGCACTAGAGACTGATAATTCCGCAGCTGGCAGTTCTCAAGCTAACAAGACAAATTCTTGTGCCTTGCTGTAGGAGTACTTTGTATCTTGTTTTTCTAAAGACATATTGTCCAAAGCGCAGGCCTAAAGTAACAAAGGGAAGGACAAAGATCAAAGGATCCAGGACGAGAACGATACAGAGTATCCAAGATGGACCTCTGGAGATACCTACATAGGAGGCCTCAAGGACTAAGGACTAATTCAAACTATGGAATGGAAAGCACCTGGCAACTGAAACGAGCCTGCAGGGAAGCCAACCAGAACCAAACCTGCAAACTCGGATCCAATAGAAGGATAACAAGTGATTATGGGAGGGGAACTGATGAGGGAATAAAAGTTCCTGGTTTTGCTTCCTGTGCTTGCGTGCCGTGTGTGGAGCAGGGGTCTCCCCCGGCCGTCCAGCACGCTGTTTTGCTTCTTTGCCTTTTATCTAAATCTTTAATAAATTTTTTATTCTTCTATTTCAGCCTAGTTTCATTTCCATAGAACACTCCCCTGCCGTGCCCGCCCACGGCAGCAGAAGGAGCCCCCTCGGCTGCCGACGCAGCCGCAGCGGGAAGGGCACGGGGCCTCCACACAAGCTGGCACGGGCTCCTTGGGAGAAGTGCCGGCTGGTGGCCCTCCCAACCACGGGGCTGTGACACACAGAAGGAACGTGGGGGCAAGGGCACCAGTGCTGCTCCCACCCCATTGCCCGGGCCTGCACCAAAATCAGCAGCTCTGGCAAGTCCTGGCCCAAGGAGACCTGCCACTGCCCCGAGTCCTGGCAGAGCTGGTGCCCGTCTCCTACCCCACAGAGCTGTGTCCCCAGGGCACTCCTCTGCCACAGGGCAGCCAAAGCCAACGGGCACTGATGTCTGGGCTCTTGCAGGGGCTGTTGGGAGCGGCAGCTGGAGCAATTGGTGGCCGTGCTCGGCAGCTGACAGAAGCACTTTCTTCTCGTGGGAATAATTTTTTTCCGTGCAAGTGGTGAGCTGCAGCACAAAACCCCCTCAGTTGCTGAGTTTTGCAGGAAGA